TAAGACAGAACTGCTTGTGGTTTCAACAAACCCATCACTTTATCAGAATTTCACCATCCAGTTAGGCAGATCAACCATAACTCCTTCAAAAACAGCCAGAAACCTTGGAGGTATGATTGATGATCAGCTGAATTTCTCAGACCACATTGCTAAAACTGTCCGGTCCTGCAGATTTGCTTTATACAGCATCAGGAGGATCAGGCCCTTTCTTTCAGAACATGCTTCACAACTCCTTGTTCAAGCTCTTGTTCTGTCCAGGCTGGACTATTGCAATGCTCTCTTGGCAGGTCTTCCAGCCATTTCTATCAAACCTCTACAATTAATCCAGAACGCGGCAGCAAGATTCATCTTTAATGAGCCGAAAAGAATGCACGTCACACCTCTGTTTATCAGTTTGCACTGGCTACCAGTAGCTGCTCGCATTAATGTTTGCCTACAAAACCACCACTGGCTCTGCACCCATTTACCTAAATTCATTGCTTCAGAGTTATGTTCCTCTAGAAGCTTGCATTCTGCAAGTGAACGTCATTGTTCATCTCAAAGACTTTTTCATTAACTGTTCCCTCCTGGTGGAATGACCTGTCCAACTCAATCCCAGCAGCTGAGTCCTTAACCATCTTCAAGAAACGGCTAAAAACACTTTATTTGACCCTCTAACTCTAGCAATTTCAATTCTATTTTAATTCTACTTTATCTATTTATCTTCTTTTTTTATGAAAAAACAAACAAACAAAAAACTAGTTTATTTTTTGCATTCTATCTACTTGTTTTTCTTTGTGTGTATATATATATATATATATATATATATACCGTGCTACGTGTACTGCGTTAGGCCAACTTAGACTTGTTAGACTTGTCATTTGCACTTATATATTGTTGCTCTTTTGTTAGTTTTGATTGCATCTATTGTCCTCATTTGTAAGTCGCTTTGTGTGTGTGAGAGAGAGAGAGAGTGTGTGTGAGTGTGTGTGTGTGTGTCTCTGTCTCTGACTCGTTTCAGCAGTGATCTGACGTCCTGTGGCTCTGACTGATAGTGTGAAGAGCTTCTGAGATCTTCTGATGAATCTGTTTCTCTGTTCTTCAGGTGGGAGCTGACAGCCATGACCACCAACAGTAACATCAGCCGGCCCATATTCTCCTCCCACGGCTGACTGCGCGTCAGAACCAGCGCCAGAACTCTTTCAGGACGTCCCTCTCCACAGATGATCCGGATTGAAGCTTCTCGATTGGAGTGGTCTTTCCCTGCCGGGCTGTGGCGCGGACGAGCGGCGCTTTGCTAGTCTGATTTTGCCACTGTTGAACTTGATTCCTGCTGAGGAGAAACAGACCTTCACACTCTTAAATCAGTCCAATTATTCATCAGTGTTACAGTGTTTTAATGAGGTTTTGGAGTGAAATGAAGATCATTCAGCCTGTAATCTGTCAGTTCTCTGCTTGTGTTCAGATCGCTCCGTCGGGTTTATATGCAGGACTCTGTTAGGGTTCCACACGTGCTCTTACATATCGAACGCAGAGAGGATGTTCAGAGAAGAGGAGACGTGTCTTGAGTTCCTCTTCTTTTAACTCGACTGGTTTTCTGGTTACCCACAGTGCTTCTGACTATAAATCCTGACTCAACAATCAATAGAAACGAAGATATTCCCTCTGCATGCGTTGTCCTGTTAAATCACACTCCGCAGATCTGCTGGCTGACAGTAAATACTTTCTGTCTTTAGACTGTCTTAGGTCTCAAAGAGTGGAAAGAGTGGTAATGATGTTATAAGCTTTTCATAAGGTCACACCGAAAGATGTTTGACATCGATGCGAATCAACACCGATCAAATAACCTGCCTCTGGTGTTTTCCAGCAAACGCGGCCGAATCATGTTGAGTTTCTCCAGGTTCACATCTTTCACACACAGACTGGATTTCCAGAGATGTATTAAAAATGATCCATTACTGCAGTTTTTTAGCATCGCTTTATATTTCATCTGAATCTTTACTGATCTGCAGAATATTGATAGATACTGAGGTGAAGCTCATGTAGACGTCAGTATTCGTGCGTCTGCCGGGTGACCATGGCCTTTATTTGAGTCTCGTCCAGTGCCTGACTTATTGTTCAGAGCGTCAGAAGGTCTGCAATCAAAGTGCTCAAAGTCTTTTGGGTTTTAAAGGCTTCTGGTCCAGATGGATTTGAAGCGTTTTATTTGAGATTTTATTGATTGTGTGTGAATATCTGACATTGAACTGTCATAATGAATATTGTGCAAACAGACCGCATCAGAAAATTCAACGTTTTCCCTCATTATAAACCATGATTTGAATAAACTGACTCGAAACAGTCTCGAAATGAAACCAGATGAAGCTCAAGTCTTTGTTTGGATCAAATGTGTTTTCATGCGGATCTGTAGCTCATGCAGACGGACGGTCAGGAGAAGAAAGAGGTGATGGTTTAGTGATGTCTCTGTGATGCTGTCATGGTCTGACAGACACGTGCTAATATAGTCATGTTGTCTATGTAGTGAATGAGAGGAAGAGACTATCGTGTATGTTCTGATTGCACAAGTACTTCTCTAGATTAGTGTAAATGCCTGGGTTCTGAGGCGCTTTGAATCGTGTTGGGCTGCTGGTGTGTGAAGGAACCGACACTGAGCTGCAGACGTGATTCCTGCATGCTGGATCAATCTTTTCCACGACTTACTCGACTTGTAAACGGGTTTTTAGTGGGATCTTGAACTTCCTGAACAATAAAACTGACGATAATTTTGCTTATTGTCTGCTTAAATGTACCGTGTGAAGTGTTGTGTGTGTGTGATATAAAAAGCACATTGAGAACTGCTTCCTGAACACAAATTTGAGAAGACGTGATTAAATAAAATATTTATTTCTCCAAAATGAAAAATATTTCTTTAATCCACAGTTTTAGACATCCCGAGTTTGGCGCTTTTGCAGTATTATTCTGATTAAAGATGAAAGTTTTCTTTGAAGCCTTTACTGTATAATGCATTCTATAGATTTTCATAATGTATGTAGTAATGCATTTTTTCATAATTGTAAGCAAAGCTAAAATGCATTATAATATTTGCACATTTCTTGTTGAAATCGGTTGTGCTTTAATGCATTATACTTTCTAAAGATGTGACGATATAAGTATTGTATTTTAACTGTGGTTGCGATTATTCATGAAATCATATAATGCATGATAAGGTGCATTACAAAGCATAATTAATGCATTGAAATTCTTTTGTAATGCATTATATATAAAGTGTTAAAGTTTCTCCATTCCTGCATCTGATGACCAATCAAAGCACTTCATCTTAAAGGACCATAATGCTCCGGCACGAGCATCTGTGAGTGTTATATTCACACACACACACACACACACACAGCTTGATATTCTTAATGTGCTCTTGAGGCTCCAGCAGCATCTTCACGAATGAAGCGTGATGGATTTGGCTGATCTCTCAGTGGACGTGACCTTAATGGGCTTCTATTGAGCAAAGGTTGTGAAAGCTAAAGGTTAACTGCTGGAGGATTTGTGATGGGACGAGACCCACCTGTCGGCCGGCTCGTTTTCACAGGAACCTTCAACTTGTGCCTTCAGCCCCTCGCTAATGGCTGAAGCTCGCGTGTTCGTCGTCGCTCTCTCCGGGGGCCCAAATAGAGCATTCAGCTCATGTCGTGTCAGGAGCCCGTGCTTGTTTTGACCTCGACGCCAGTCCCTGGAGTCAAACGCTCTTCAGCGCCGACATCACATGAACAAACCCGAAGTGACTGTGATGAATCACCTGAAGAAGATTTCTGCTGACCTCTGACAGCTCTGCTGAGCATTCACTCGCTCCCAGAGAACAGACGTATTTCTTTCTGATCCGCTGCCACGTATGAAGTTCTGAACGATCAGTACAGAAGTGTGTTCTGATCGATGCTCCAGGCGGATCGGGCTGTGGGAGATTCAGCGGCGTCTGTGAAAGCAGAAACACATGAAGATCTTGTTCCTGCGCAGACGTCTGTGTCGCAGCAGCAGTGTGTTCATGTCTGTCAGTAGCGCTGCTATAAAGTCCTGGTTATCTACAGTGTTAAGTGCGGCGGCGCTGTAGACGGGAAACTCCACAGACCCACTTTATTCTGACGACCTTCATATAAAACATTTGCTTCTAGTCTGAGCTTTGCTTTGACCTGATCCAGCTCTGAATGCTCAGCGGCTCACGCTGAACCCAAACCAGATGCTCCTCTTCAGGCTTCTTCAGCCTCTGCAGATCACGCTAAAGGCTGGAAGACACTACATGACTTCTGTCCTGATCTGCTGACACTAGCTGCTGGAAGTCAGGGTCAGTCTGCAGATGTCAGTCGCTCAGATTTGACCGAAGATCACGCAGTATATGATGGACACACTGATCTTTAGATAAACATGTTTCCTCTGTTGTTGTTCTGCCTCCTGACCCTAAAATAAAACATTTTCTGCCTGAAACATCTCTTGACCTAGCTCTTCACGTGTTTATAACCTCTCGACTGGACTGGTGTGATTCTTTGTACTGTGGCATCTCTACGTCCCAGGTTGCTCGCTTACAATTGGGACAAAATTCTGCAGCCAAATTTCTTAAGAAAGGTCAAGTTTGATCCACTCCTTGTTTGTGAGCTCTTCATTGGCTCCGAGTTCACTTTAGGATCAATTTTAAAATTCTCCTATTTGTATTTAAATGTTTACACAACCTTGCCCCATGTTACTTATCAGAATTGCTGCATACTTCTAGCCCTGCCAGAGATGTAAGATTGGTAATGAAATGCTTCTGAAACACAGAGAACGGTCTGCCAGCGCACCTCAGTGTGCTCCATCTTCAGCAGTTTCTCTTCTGGAAACCCACTTGTTTTCTTTAGCTTTTAAACGTTGAGGATGTTTTTTTGTATGCGTTTTACTTTTTTTGACCGTGTGATTTTGCACAGCACTAGGGTTAGCTATTTTGAGCCAATTTTATATCACATGTTCAATTGTCATTTGTGTAGTGAATCAGAAGTCTGTCTGTGAGATCCTCGGTCGTTTAGTGTCTGATGCGCCGATTTAATCAGAAATCATGTACTATGGCAAGTGTCTGATGTCTAGTGTTTTAACCCTCATTCTGAACCAGAGTGGATTTTCTTTTCTTCTGTTTCCCTGAAAGTGCTACTGAATAGTAAAGCATTGGACTAAGGTTTACTGACTTTGCTCACAGGACAGAACAAATTCTCTAAGTTTTTTTTGTTACACTCAAAAAATGACCTGACTACAAAACATTGTTTATAAATGTCTTGTTAAGCTATTATCACCAAATCTTGGATCAGTCTTTGTGTCACCTTGTTTTCTTTCAATTAGCAGAGGTTTTGTATTGATTGAACATTAATGTGAGCTTATGCACCTCAGTTTCGGAGCCAAAATTATACACAAATGTTTTTTATTTATTTTAATTAATAAAAAAAAAATTGTCACTCAAAAATTGTTCCCAAATAAACACAAAACCTGTGCTGATTGACAGAAAACAAGTTGATAAAAAGATTAAATCCAAGATCTGGTGATAATATAGAATAATGACAGATTTACTTTTGATTGAGAACACAGAATTAGGTGAAGGATTTCCAGAAGCACAAGGGTTAAAATCTGTTCTGATTTTTAAAGTCATGTAGTGTTTTACAGTCTTAAATCACATAAACTTCACAAAGTGCGCCTTTGCGTGAGGCTTGAAAACTGAAGAAACCTGATGAAATGTTATTGTGTCTCGACTGTAATGTGATCAAACTCCCCGTGAAATAACTAACTGTTAATACTGATCTGTGTGTGTGTGTGTGTGTGAGAGAGAGAGAGAGTGTGTGTGTGTGTAAGAGAGAGAGAGAGAGTGTGTGTGTGTGTAAGAGAGAGAGAGAGAGTGTGTGTGTGTGTAAGAGAGAGAGAGAGAGTGTGTGTGTGTGTAAGAGAGAGAGAGAGAGTGTGTGTGTGTGTAAGAGAGAGAGAGAGAGTGTGTGTGTGTGTAAGAGAGAGAGAGAGAGTGTGTGTGTGTGTAAGAGAGAGAGAGAGAGTGTGTGTGTGTGTAAGAGAGAGAGAGAGAGTGTGTGTGTGTGTAAGAGAGAGAGAGAGAGTGTGTGTGTGTGTAAGAGAGAGAGAGAGAGTGTGTGTGTGTGTAAGAGAGAGAGAGAGAGTGTGTGTGTGTGTAAGAGAGAGAGAGAGAGTGTGTGTGTGTGTAAGAGAGAGAGAGAGAGTGTGTGTGTGTGTAAGAGAGAGAGAGAGAGTGTGTGTGTGTGTAAGAGAGAGAGAGAGAGTGTGTGTGTGTGTAAGAGAGAGAGAGAGAGTGTGTGTGTGTGTAAGAGAGAGAGAGAGAGTGTGTGTGTGTGTAAGAGAGAGAGAGAGAGTGTGTGTGTGTGTAAGAGAGAGAGAGAGAGTGTGTGTGTGTGTAAGAGAGAGAGAGAGAGTGTGTGTGTGTGTAAGAGAGAGAGAGAGAGTGTGTGTGTGTGTAAGAGAGAGAGAGAGAGTGTGTGTGTGTGTAAGAGAGAGAGAGAGAGTGTGTGTGTGTGTAAGAGAGAGAGAGAGAGTGTGTGTGTGTGTAAGAGAGAGAGAGAGAGTGTGTGTGTGTGTAAGAGAGAGAGAGAGAGTGTGTGTGTGTGTAAGAGAGAGAGAGAGAGTGTGTGTGTGTGTGCGAGAGAGAGAGAGAGAGAGTGTGTGTGTGAGAGAGAGAGAGAGAGAGAGTGAGTGTGTGTGTGTGTGTGTTGTGGTGATGTCACTGTGGGTATTTTTACACCCGCTCTATAAATATCGGGTCACTCCTCGTGTCGTCACGGCGGAGGGTCTTTTCTTCTCCTTCGGGTCTCAGGTTGAGTCACTGAGACTATATAACCCAGGACAGACTCCCGGATCCTCAGACAGTCAGAGGTGAGGCGAGCAGCTCAACGAGCGCTGACTAACACTAACTAAACTAAACGAGCTGCTGACCTGTCATCAGCTCGCGCTGTTTTGCATGTTATTGGAGTTTTTCAGCATAATTTATTTAATAAAGCAACTTTCTGTGTTGGTTCAGATCTCTGAGAGGATGAGCGTCGGCTGCGACACGAGCGTCAGGCGGATTCTCCGCGCGTCTCAACGCTTCAGGTCAGTCAAAGCGGTCACGATTCTGTTGCTCCGCATGTTAGGCTGATGTTACACGGGGCAACTAGTTTAGCAATGTTGCTTGGGCACTTTCCCATTGAGGATGGGCAACACATTTCCATCTGGATGCTTTAGATCGGTCTGTCTCACCTGGTTGCTCGTTGACGGCAACATTGCCCAAAAAGTTACCCCGTGTATCATCAGCCTTAGTTTAGTGTGTGCTGTACCTGTACTGACAGACAGTGAGCTTTAGGTGTGTGTGTGTGTGTGTGTGTGTGAGACGCAGAGCTCCACCCAGGACTCCTCTTTATAAGGAGTTTCTCATTCATGGAGACCCTGTAGAAGCGCATCTCTCATAGGCTCAGTGTCATTCATCCTGACTAACACAACGTCTGATGCAGGTCCACTAAAGGGGCGTCCAAAGCCCGGCGAGACCACATCAATGGAGAGATCCGGAACATGCGGGCGCTGCTGCCTATCTCTGCTGAAGACCAGGAGCGTCTGTCCTACCTGCACTCCATGTCCCTCATCTGCACCTACGTCAGGAAGAGCGTGCTCCTCAAAGGTAAAGACGATCACACTCCTGCAGATCTGTGTTCACCAGGGTCTGAATGGGTCTGAATCAGTGCACTGTGGTCTTGATGGGTGCAGGAGTTCACCAGGACGCGGGTGCAGTTTCTCCTCTGTGGGAGAGCTTTCTGCAAGCGCTGCCTGGATTTATTGTGGCTTTGACCAGAGACGGGAAACTGGTCTATGTGTCTGAAAATGTGTCCGAATATCTCGGCCTGTCGATGGTGAGTGAAACGGTTTCTGTTCTGTTTCATGTGCACACACATTTATCCTGTTATATTTGTGATAGTTGTGATAGAAAAGAATGTTCATGCAGAGTTTCGACACATGCACATCTATGTGTTTTGAAAAGGCTGAACAAATTTTGACCTCCATTGGTTTTCAATTGCCAAAAATCAGTCAGGTTACTGCAGCCTGCCAAACCCTAAAATGTGAAAATACATATGAAATACAAAATATGAAATGCATGAGAACTTGTTTAAAACTCAAAGCTTACTCGAAATTGAAAACTTGTCTGATTGTCTGAATCTCTTTATGTAGTTGAGTTTTACAGTCAAAAAATAGCACAACTAAAATAGCTTTGTTGAAACGAATGAATCATTTTCTCATGTTTTATATTTTGAAGTCTCTGACCAGCTACAATAGAGGTTTTCTGTTTTTACAGGAGTCATTTTTCATAGTGTCGATTATTGCATGGAAACCACTGTGTACCCAGTATTTGAACACGACCTGAGCGGTTTGTATTGCTTTGTAGGTCGATGTCCTTCAGGGAGACACTTTCTATGATATGATGGACAGTCGTGATGCAGAAGCGGTGAAAGTTGTTTTGAGAGAGCAGGATGTCTCCGCAGGTGAGTGTGGTGCTCTGTCTCTCCATGTCGTGTCATGTGATGTCCAGATCAGCTCTAATGTCGTGTGTCTGTCTCTCAGAGCGCAGCTTCGTGTGCCGCATGCACAGCTCCAAAGCGCTCCGGCTCCAGTACAGCAGCTGCTGCTCCATGCTGGTGAGGGGGCGATTCCAGGACGGCCCGCCGGACGCCGCTCTGTTTGTGGCCCTCTGTACGCCCACAGTCAACAGACTGAAGGACAGCGAGCTCCTGAGGGCCTCCGCCTGCTTCCAGACGCTCCACAGACCGGACATGAGGCTCACTCACGCCCCCTACAGGTACAAACATACTGCTCCCATCTCACATTACAAAGCTGATGTACCAATAACATGCATTTCTTCTAGAGAGGATGGATTTGACTGGAGGACAGAATGTGGGAGCTTTTAATTGTATTATGTAATGAATGAAATATGTTTCCACAGTGTCTTGTTCCACCTGGGTTTCTCAGCAGAGGAGCTGATTGGTCGATCGTGGTACGAGCTCCTGCATCCGGATGACCTCACGCTCGCCGCCCGCTGCCATCGCACACTCAGTGAGTCAACACAAATATACACATCTGTGGAAACGTTTGGGCTCGGTGAGAAATTAATACTTTTATTCGTCAAGTGGCATATTGCCATGGCAACCAGTGGCTGGAGATGTGATGAGGTTTGGTGGGAACCGGTTTCTCATCTTTTTTCGAGAATTATTTATACACCTGCAGTGTTTTATGAATGTGAAGAATCAGTCAGAGTGTCTCTTTCTGAACATTTACCAACAGTCGTTCTGTTCCTTGCGTTGCTAGTGGCTCGGTAGCATGTAAATGTAGTTTTTGTAAACGACTCAATAATAAGCTACTACGCACTTACTCATATGACAAAAACAGCGAGATCCTGAAGCATGAGCGAAGAACTGAAGCTACCTCATGAAGCGAATGTGATCACTCCAAACACTCGTTCTGTTGTGTCGCTGTGTATTTATTTTCTGTGGTTTATGTTAGATTTGTAGATCATTCGAGTATGAATGTAATGTTATGTGAAAGTTTCTCTTGCGGCGTCAGCGTCACTGAATCTCTGCCTTATGTTTGCGGTCTCTGTGGCTCTCACGTCAGGGTTATCTATAATGTTTAGAGCAAACATGTACAAAACAAACAGTTTATTTATATATTCTTGCTCTTTGTTTCTATTTTTGTATGTAAAGTCAATAAAGTTGCTAAGATAACTAAAACTGTGGTCTGTTTAGTCATAAGTGACACCCACCCTCATCCTGAAACCGTGTGTGTGTGTCTGTGAGAGTGTGTGTGAGAGATAGTGTGTGTGTGTGTGTGTGTGAGAGAGAGAGAGAGAGAGAGAGAGAGAGAGAGAGAGAGAGAGAGAGAGAGAGAGAGAGAGAGAGAGAGAGAGAGAGAGAGAGAGAGAGAGAGAGAGAGAGAGAGAGAGAGAGAGAGAGAGAGAGAGAGAGAGAGAGAGAGAGAGAGAGAGAGAGAGAGAGAGAGAGAGAGAGAGAGAGAGAGAGAGAGAGAGAGAGAGAGAGAGAGAGAGAGAGAGAGAGAGAGAGAGAGAGAGAGAGAGAGAGAGAGAGAGAGAGAGAGAGAGAGAGAGTGTGTGTGTGTGTGTCTGTGAAAGTGTGTGTGTGTCTGTGAGTGTGTTTGTGTGTGAGAGAGTGTGTGTGTGTCTGTGAGAGTGTGTGAGAGAGATAGAGTGTGTGTGTGTGTCTGTGAGAGTGTGTGTGAGAGATAGTGTGTGTGTGTGTGTCTGTGAAAGTGTGTGTGTGTCTGTGAGTGTGTTTGTGTGTGAGAGAGTGTGTGTGTGTCTGTGAGAGTGTGTAAGAGATAGAGTGAGTGTGTGTGTGAGAGAGAGAGAGAGAGAGAGAGAGAGAGAGAGAGAGAGAGAGAGAGAGAGAGAGAGAGAGAGAGAGAGAGAGAGAGAGAGAGAGAGAGAGAGAGAGAGAGAGAGAGAGAGAGAGAGAGAGAGAGAGAGAGAGAGAGAGAGAGAGAGAGAGAGAGAGAGAGAGAGAGAGAGAGAGAGAGAGAGAGAGAGAGAGAGAGAGAGAGAGAGAGAGAGAGAGAGAGAGAGAGAGAGAGAGAGAGAGAGAGAGAGAGAGAGAGAGAGAGAGAGAGAGAGAGAGAGAGAGAGAGAGAGAGAGAGAGAGAGAGAGAGAGAGAGAGAGAGAGAGAGAGAGAGAGAGAGAGAGAGAGAGAGAGAGAGAGAGAGAGAGAGAGAGAGAGAGAGAGAGAGAGAGAGAGAGAGAGAGAGAGAGAGAGAGAGAGAGAGAGAGAGAGAGAGAGAGAGAGAGAGAGAGAGAGAGAGAGAGAGAGAGAGAGAGAGAGAGAGAGAGAGAGAGAGAGAGAGAGAGAGAGAGAGAGAGAGAGAGAGAGAGAGAGAGAGAGAGAGAGAGAGAGAGAGAGAGAGAGAGAGAGAGAGAGAGAGAGAGAGAGAGAGAGAGAGAGAGAGAGAGAGAGAGAGAGAGAGAGAGAGAGAGAGAGAGAGAGAGAGAGAGAGAGAGAGAGAGAGAGAGAGAGAGAGAGAGAGAGAGAGAGAGAGAGAGAGAGAGAGAGAGAGAGAGAGAGAGAGAGAGAGAGAGAGAGAGAGAGAGAGAGAGAGAGAGAGAGAGAGAGAGAGAGAGAGAGAGAGAGAGAGAGAGAGAGAGAGAGAGAGAGAGAGAGAGAGAGAGAGAGAGAGAGAGAGAGAGAGAGAGAGAGAGAGAGAGAGAGAGAGAGAGAGAGAGAGAGAGAGAGAGAGAGAGAGAGAGAGAGAGAGAGAGAGAGAGAGAGAGAGAGAGAGAGAGAGAGAGAGAGAGAGAGAGAGAGAGAGAGAGAGAGAGAGAGAGAGAGAGAGAGAGAGAGAGAGAGAGAGAGAGAGAGAGAGAGAGAGAGAGAGAGAGAGAGAGAGAGAGAGAGAGAGAGAGAGAGAGAGAGAGAGAGAGAGAGAGAGAGAGAGAGAGAGAGAGAGAGAGAGAGAGAGAGAGAGAGAGAGAGAGAGAGAGAGAGAGAGAGAGAGAGAGAGAGAGAGAGAGAGAGAGAGAGAGAGAGAGAGAGAGAGAGAGAGAGAGAGAGAGAGAGAGAGAGAGAGAGAGAGAGAGAGAGAGAGAGAGAGAGAGAGAGAGAGAGAGAGAGAGAGAGAGAGAGAGAGAGAGAGAGAGAGAGAGAGAGAGAGAGAGAGAGAGAGAGAGAGAGAGAGAGAGAGAGAGAGAGAGAGAGAGAGAGAGAGAGAGAGAGAGAGAGAGAGAGAGAGAGAGAGAGAGAGAGAGAGAGAGAGAGAGAGAGAGAGAGAGAGAGAGAGAGAGAGAGAGAGAGAGAGAGAGAGAGAGAGAGAGAGAGAGAGAGAGAGAGAGAGAGAGAGAGAGAGAGAGAGAGAGAGAGAGAGAGAGAGAGAGAGAGAGAGAGAGAGAGAGAGAGAGAGAGAGAGAGAGAGAGAGAGAGAGAGAGAGAGAGAGAGAGAGAGAGAGAGAGAGAGAGAGAGAGATAGACAGAGAGAGAGACAGAGAGACAGAGAGAGAGAGGGATAGAGAGCAGGTTGAAAACAGCTGTAAAATATCATCGCAGCAGGTTAACAAATAACATCAATAACAATAAATCATATTAAATGAAAGCCAGTTCATCCAGTTGACATTTGAGAACATTGTGTTGTGTTGTTTAAAGGCACGGACAGGTCAGGGCTGTTTCGCTAAGAAAAGCGAGGATTAAAGTCCAAAACCTAACAAATCAATCGGGACTAAAGCGGTTTCATAAACGGCAATTTAAGATCACGCAGTCTCACTAATTCGAGCCAGGTTTGCAGTCAAGATAATTGCGCGAACACGCTTTTCTGAAGCAGCACTAGAGGCCGAACATGGATCTGATCGATCAGTAAAGAGAGCAGCGCCTGCTCTTAGAATCATACGAAGAACTGAAAGATTGAATTAACGTTACACTGCTGCAGTAAATAAAATAAGAGAGAAAGGCTGGCAAATAATTGATGATCGACTGAATGCGTAAGTAGCAATGTCTTCGTACGATCTAATGAAATATCAGGCACATTCAAAAAGGAAAAAATGAATGAAATTTTATATATATATATGTTTGTATGTATCTATTACTATGCTGCTGTTTAAAAAAAAACGTTTCCTCAAAGTAAGTGAAATGCAATTAACTTCAGTGGGGAGAAAAGAACATGGCAGCAGGTGAAAATTAAATATAAAAATATTATTCAGAATGGTAAGTATATAGGCTATATAACTACTTAAGTATAATTGGCTTGCTGCTAGAACTGTCTGATTGTATATTTATGAAATAAAGCTGCAAAAAGGAAGAGTGATGTAGCGAGATGGTCCTCACTGCAGAACACAAGATCCAGATCCAACTCCTCCCACCTTACATATAAGGTGTGTTCGACTTCATGCGGCGCCGCGCAAACCGATCGGCGGCTGACTTGAAGCAGTGCATGCCGGTTAGAAATTTTGTCCGACTTGAACCGGCACCGACGCTACGTCACTGTCACGTGTGGCATCAAAGTACCGCGATATCGTTTCGAGAGCAGCCGGCTGACTCAGCTGCCGCAGCTTTTTCAGAGCGACTGCAGGAGCGCTGATGACGACACAACTGTTTCACGATTGGCCAAACTCACCACATGACAACAATGACGTGTGTTTCTAACATCTTCAAATCCAATACTGCTCATCTGTGTTTTTAGAACATTAAAAGCTTTTTTACTGTAGTCGCAATGTTATATTGAGTCACGTTTATCATGAAAACATATATACCCCCACTTTATTAGTATTTAAATAGTATATATTCACGTTGAACTTTATTCTTGAACAGATGGCCCTGTATTAAGCAGTATATAAAAACTGTTTCTGTTGCTGTTTCTGTTGCTCATGAAAATGTTTCTGAAACGTCTGTGTATTTGACAAATATTGCATTTAATTCACTTCATCTGTGATAGAGTATGCAAACACCGTGACAGCATCACTAACGGGAGCAGAAAGTGTCCGGCTTGACGGCTCTGTTTTCAACTCCACCCCCGACTGCAAGCGGCTACTCTCGTTGACTGCCGTCTGTAGCGGTGCTTCAAGTCGAATGCACCTATACCTAAACCTACCCGTCTCCACCCCCTGAACCCTAAACCCACCCATCTCCCAGAGCTCCACCCCTATCTTTGTAAATAAGTAAGTATCTTTGCAATCATGTCAACGATATCGCTGGAAATGAAGTGTCCCCAACTAAGCAAGCCAGAGGCGACAGCGGCAAGGAACCAAAACTCCATCGGTGACAGAATGGAGAAAAAACCTTGGGAGAAACCAGGCTCAGTCGGGGAGCCAGTTCTCCTCTGACCAGACGAACCAGCAGTACGGAAAAATCAATATAAGACGTAATAAAACAGACGATGAATAATATTAACAGCAATTATTATATGATGCAATCAAACTTATAGCAGAATGTGGTAGTTCTGTATGTTGTTTCAGGGTTGGCATCATCTGAGGTCCTCTGAGGGGTTGCATCATCTCTTCTCAGGTGTTCTGGATCCAGACTGAAGCTTGTGTAAATCCTAGTTACCACGGGATGTTAATTGTCTGCAGGACACTGACATCCTTCCAGAGACCAGTCAGACTGGAACTACAGGAGACGAGGTAGGCTTTATTCAATTTGAACATGGTGTTGAGGGCATGAAATAATAGACATTTTGGGTTCTACAGAATGAAGAAAATATAAAAAGTGTGTACAAGTGCTACCTCCTTAAAGAAATGGATGTTCTGGATGTAGACATTCAATATAAGAAGTTGAAGATGAGAAAGCTGGAGCTGGAAATCCAAAAACTGGAGAACTGTTGTGATGAAACACTGACACTTGACATTTTGGTCACCATTTAATCGTTTGTTTTGTTTTTCTTCTCTAGCAGGCAGCTTTAAGTTGAAATAAAATAATAATAATAAATAATAAATGAAATACAAATTATGTGACTTGTTTGTGTTGTGTAATGAAATTGAGGGGCAAGTAGGGGGCTACAAACATAAAATGAAAGCCTTCACATGACTTGAAAAAATATAATGCTAACCAAAATAATTATTTGCATAAATGTCTCTTATAACTCCGCCTGTTTCATTGTCATCAAACGCCACCTCATAGCCCCAGTCCTCCTCTGCAGCATCCGTGGTGGCCTCTCTTTCCTCAAGCTGGCAATGTTATGGAGCACAACACCACCAACAATAATGTCACAAGCCCGTTGTGCAGTCACTCGGAGGTGTTTCAGGCACTGGAACCTTGATTTGATGAGAGCAAATGCCATCTCTATACGAGCTCTTGTGCGTGCATGGGCAAGTTATAGTTGTGTTGTGTCTGTGTCTGGGGTTCCTGGTATGGAGTCAGCCCTTGTCCTTCCTGAGAATTCCCCTGGATAGAGTCAAAATGTATTCTTTTGTAATTACTAATTGGTGAATTTATTTTTAAACCTGTACATTTTCCATTAATAACCTACCTTGTGCCAGTTGCTGGGCAACAGAAGAG